TATATATATATATATATATATATATATGTAATAAATAAATGAAAATAATAAAAATATATTGTGCATGTGTATGTATATAAATATATATTTATTTATTTCCACAAAATGGGGCCTAATGCCCTCTGTGATTCATCTGTTTTAACCACTCGCACCACTGTACAGTAGTGTGTTGTTGGTCAGTGAGTCAGTAGACACTAAAATGATGTCACATAAGGGACACTTAATGGTGCAGTTTGTACTGTCATGACATCAGTAAAATATGTGCATGCCATGAATCATTTTGATTTTATTTACTCTTGAAAAAAAACACTTTTGGGGACCCTGCAGAAGAATATCTATCATATATATATAAAACATTTAACCAATACTGTTAAATGAAACTAACATTAAAGAAACAATGGAATACAACTTACTTAAACAACACATAACAGCTTCATTGCTCCATGTACTATCAGCGAAAACAAACTTACTTGCTCTTACTGGGGATGAATCCACATTTGATTTTCTGTCCATCCTGGTCAAGGACCCATGCTCGCCAAAGACCACAGGTACTGTTGTACATTGTATTGTCCACAAATAATATGTCATCCTTGTGAAGTAACAGAGAACCATCAATAGATGGTCGATCAAACAAAACTCTAATGTAAAATGAATCTCCTGGCTTGTCTTGGACTTCCATGTATTCTGCAAGTATATTTAACAAAGTTACATAATGTTACATGAAACAGCTCAAGCTCATACAAACTACAGAAAAAAAAGAAATATCTCTTAACTTTATAATCTATAACTAAAAGGAGAGCAAAATCTAACTATACAGTTGATGAAAAGTTCTGAAGGCTTAAATAAACAAACTACACAGTTGAATATATTAATAGGTTGATGCTTTAATTCATTTAAAAACTGTACATGAACTAATAACCCATGGATTTCTGTAACTACAGTACAGATTTTCTTCATAATAGTTAGACTTGTCAATAAGTGTGGATGTAAATAATACGAGATTTATGCTTCTAAATCAAGCATTTTAATATAAAATTTGATGCTATAAGTATAAAAATAACACTGTTAAGTTGTGGAAGTATATTTTATTGATTATGGTAAAGTTATTGCATATGACTAAGCTCATGAATTTTTCTGTTTAATGATTATTTTGTTTTAGAAAGGAAAATAAGTTATAGCTTCAAATTCAAGAATTAACAGCCAAAGCTCTAAATATTCTCAATCATACTCCCCTAAGAATAATGATTAAAAACTCCCTCAAGATATAACAGCGTACATCTTGTAGTTATATTCACATTTCAAATGTAATAACAAAATAATATTATGTCATATTTCCATGAAATAATTAATACTTAATTTGAGCATGAAGTATTTTTGGTTGTCCCTGGCAAATGGAACGAAACATTCTTTAGATATTACCTTATCAATACTAGAAATGATCAGATTTTAATATTAAAAGATAACTTCTTTTATATATGTACATAAAACGTAGAATCAGTTTTCCATATTTCATATATCGGTAATACCTGTATTTGTATTTATCTTGAAGCACAGATAGTTATTTTAGTAATAAAACTAATTGAAGCTGATCATTACTCTGTAACAAACTTACTGCCTGTATTGTAAAGAGCCATAACAGTGACAGTATCTGCTGGTTTAGCTAACTCATATGCAGCCTCCTCTGCTGTGGCATTCCTCAAGTCCACTCCATTGTACTGAAAACACAGTTCACATAATTTTAAATATCAAACAAACTGCTCTGTATAAGGAAGTAAAAAAGGGCTGTGGGAAGATAGTAAATAACTATGTTTCTCTTTAGAATTGTGGTGATTGCATATGTAATACGTTAAGCACACATTAAAGCTTTCTGATAATTTCCTAGTTGTAAATTCTACTTCTTATATCAAGAAGTATATATAAAAAAAATAACATCACAAATTGAACTTTCAAAGGACATGTTGTGAATGTTTATTTAACACTTATCTATCTTTTTCTTTTAATATTAAAATCTCATACTACAGTTGTTGAAATTAACAATAAAAGCATGTTACCTCTAATATCTGGTCACCAGGAAGTAAGCCACTGGGACCTACAGCAGGAGAATCATCTTGGATATCATGAACAAATATACCAACTGCATTTCCACCAAGAAGACTGATACCAAGGTTGGATGTGGTTTTTTTTAGCACTACCATACGAGGTTCAATCTCTGATGACCGTGATCCACCTGGTCTATCTTTACCTTTGGGACTATTCAAACAAGAACAACAAAACTAATTCAAGAACTTCTCTGAGAATGACTTTTTTAACAAAAACAACAAAGGTTATACCATTATACTTAAAAAATGCATATAAAGATTGCTGTACATTTTATTATGTTCAGTTTAAGTACCTTGACACTTTTTGTCTTGTTAGTGTGGATGTAGTTGAACTAGGCAAATCATCATTTGAAAGCTTCATGGCATCAATGTAGGACAAACGAGTGTGATACTGAGGTGAAGCAGGAGGAGTATGATCACTGCCTGGACTGCTTGGCTCTGATATTTTTTCTCTATATTCTAAATATGAAAAAAATAATGAAAGAATTTTTAAGAAGCTAATAACCTGAATATATTATTCCATTATTTATACACGATCAAAAAGGAATTTAATGGTTATATGAATTTCAAACGTGCACAAAATTAAAATTCTATCATAAGATTAAGAAATTTTAGCATAGGTTTCAAAATCATAAATAACAATGTTTAATTTCAAAACTTGAAAGCCTAAAAAAAATTAATATTTCCTTAGCAATAAGAAAACAAAATGGTTCTGGTAATGAACTAATTAAAACACTAATCCAAACAGTCTATGAAATGAAAAAATTTATGAAATCTCTCAGTCTCTTTGATAGTACATATTACTTGACAGTCACAAGCCAACTTTTCACACACTCAAAAAAGATAAGTGCCCAGAAATCAATCAAAACTTTTTAGAAGTTTAACCTGAATAACTTTCTTTTTTTATACCAGGCATAAAACCAGAAAAACTACAAACATTACATCTGTTTTTCTATCACTACAACCATTAAACAATGGAAAAAAACAAACAAAAGCCATTAAAAGAAATCAAATGATACTTACTGTCAGGATTGTACTGTACAAGCATGGTGATGCTGTGACCACACTGACGCAGAACATTAGATGCTTGTTGATATGTGGCACTCCTCATGTTAATCCCACATACCTAAAGTACGAAAAGGTATGAAAATTACACAATTTTTTAACTTATTTAGTGTAATACAGATATGTAAATTATCACAACAGCCTATCAAAAACACTTAAAATGAAACTTTTACCTGATGTACACATAATAAAACTACCTCTATATGCCCACTTTTTTGTGCCCAGCTAACATCATTTCAACAACCACACACTGTGTTATAAGCTAATTCTTATTTAGATAGGTTAGATGCCTATCCTTTCCAACAATATAAAAATCAAATTCATTGATTAATCTAAAGTACAATAAAAAAAGACTGCTTAAAAATAAACTTGAGCAGAGAGCATTATGTCTAACTTGGAGCTTGGAACTACACAAAGCATAACTTATACTTCTAAGTCAACAGCTTGCTAACATACTTTATATCCTAAACCCTTTAGTGGAAGTCACTTACATTACTCACACAATTGTAAAAACCTGTACAATTTATACATTTTATAACAGTTACTAATATTCTCTCACAAGCTAAAAAAATGTCTGTTTAAGTTGGTTAAAATTAACAGCGGATCTCTGAGTCAACCAGACCATGTATGGTATTCCACCTCTAGGAGGCATACAATCAGTATTTTCTAAATTTTCTCACAAATTTTATGGAATTTGCAATGTGGTAAGAGGAAGTCAAAAGTGTTTGCCAAACCCACAATTGAAAAGAACTGGGAAAAATACAATGATTATATTTTTTGATAGATGGAGAATTCTTAATAAAATTTGCCTGAAGTCCTGGAGTTATATATAGATTCTTGTGAAGCCAGTAACAATCCAAACTTCAAGGACAACTAGCAGGTTTTCTGTCAAGATTGCACATATCTTAGAGGATACATATGAGATGCATCAGATTCAAAGCTTACTTGTACATGTAAGATAGCAAAATGCTTGATGTGCTACTTGTGCAGTAGACGTGGATGTGACCATGACAGGACACCAGTTGCAGAAGCAGCAAGCCATAAAAGAGGCCAGAGAAGAATTTCTGTTGGTGCTAATAAAGATGTCAAATAGCCGAAGAGAGGCACATCTACCTTAGACTGGGTATGTTCACAAAACACATTGGCAGTCATGACCAGAGTGGTGAGAATGGTTAACTCTGGTGAAATAGAAAAATGCTATGACCACTGTATCTGTAGAAAAAGCCATAGCAAAAATACACCTCAGAATAACCCTATAACAATGACACCATTTTAAAAACCCTTTGTGCACATGTTGCTGAGTTACATTCAAAATTTAATTAATCACCTTACTGTCAATGTATGTTAATTAAATTATTATTATCAAGTATGTTATAGTTCTAAGTTTTATTCCTTTATTTCAAAAGAAACCTCAAAAACATTATTTAAAACTTAAGTTTTGATATTTCATTACATGCTCACAGTTACAAATCTCAACTTGAAGAACTGGTATAGAAGAAACTGTGTATGTAACAAACGATTCATACAAGCATTCAAAGTACAGTATATAGGTTGTTTACTCATAATTTGAGTACACTCCAAGAAATTGTCCAGGAGCAAACCATTGTAAAATTTTCTCAGTTCAAGAAAATCCACACCCACTTGCAAAGTAGCTGTGTTTGCTCAGCAGAAATTTTAACTTGAATGGCATGCTTATAACCAATAAAAAGAGCTGATTTTCCAATATATTTTATAACAAGGGCAGGGAAATTATACGATATTTGTGTTTTAAAGAGGAAGTCGAAAAAAGCTTAGTCCATTGTTGAGAGTGGTGTCCTTAGCACTTGGCTATTTTTTCTTGCCTTATACATATTAGTTTGATAGACAGTTAAATTACATTTCAGTTTTACTTTTATATTTCAGTTAAGTATGTATTATATGTTTTAAAGTTCATATTTGAAAGGTTTTAATGAGTTGATACGTTTATTCTATGCTTTGCCTCGCTAAACAATTGTTCAATGTTACAAGTTCAAATAAAATTTTGCTGGATGATAAACTGTCTCTGCCAATGTTAGCGTTTTATCACCTGCGGGCTCTTGTTGATGTGTGTGTCAACATAAATAATCAAAGATAAATAACAGAAAGGGAAAATAAAACATTAAAAAAATTTTAAGATTATTCAACGAAGAGTTAACAGGCATGTACATATTTCTATTTCTTAATTTTAAGCATTTCATTGCACTGTATATTGATGCTAATAGCTAGAGTTAGTGATATGGTAGAGCAAACAGAAAATAAAATATAATCATTTACCTTAAAAAACTTTCAATATTTATTTAGGAGGTTCTAGAGATTATGCAAGTGAAATTTGAAAAGTGTAAGATAATAAATAACACTTTTATACTCAAAAATCACCTTGCAGGTGAACTATTCAGAGTCTGAGTACAAATAATTTCATTAAATAATGAATTTTATTAGGTATATTAGAAAAAATAAATAAATATTTTATCTTACTCAAACTACATACTTTTATGAAAGTTCTTGTCAAGTTGTAAACAATTTTATCCACTGGTTTTATTACTGGAGCAAAATCAAATGAGAGTTACATAACGTGCTTAAGTCTGAAGCACGTTGTCATTATAGGGTTAAGCCCTATAAATCCCTGTATTTCATTCCATCTTTTCCATATCTTGTGTGGACCCTCATTTGTTACAAGAAATTACACAATTGGTCTAGTTGGCTCAGAGATTTGTTGTTAATAATATTTCTTATTAAAAACATCAAAAACAGGAATTATGATGCTCTTCTCTGTGTAAAAAAGATAAAAAAATAACAGTTTAACCTATAAATGAATTTTAAGCATAAAGTAATTACTTGCAATGCTGTGTGACTATCATAGGAAGTGTTTCAATTTAAAAATATGAATATCATTGATTGAATACGTCTAGAAAAAAATAAAAAACACAACTACTTGAAAACAAATTATTAAACTAAGAAAACATGATAAAGTATGCTCTGTATGGTGAAACAGTAACGTTTCACAAACTAGTAAAATAGTAAAAAAAAAAGAACTCCTGAATACCCAAATATTAAGAATCTGAATTTAAGTTATATATTACATTTCAATACTGTGATGATACAAAAGGAAAATACTTTCATCATTTCTGAAATATATGGAAGTGTACACTAACCTCAAGCAACTGATCACCATACTGTAAACCAGCTTGTCCAGCTAAACTGTTCTCACTTATTGGAGATATGAAGATGCCTTGACTTGCTCCTCCACTTATGTTGATACCAAGGGGAACCTCTGAGCTCCGTTCAATAAAAATCCTTCTTAAGTCTCCTGGTTTTACTCTTAAAAACAAATATATCCACTTTTGTTTAACACAGTGTCAGGTCTGTTGTGTTTTTATAGATTTAACTATAATTTTCAAAGTAACTTTTCACAATACAAACAATAAAGAAATGAAGAAAGTGAAAATTTCACTGAATAATAAAAATATATATATCATAATCCCAAAAATAACAACTTTCAAAAACAAACTTATTTTAATAGGAGTTTTTAATGCATGAAAAGTAAACCTTAATTCTTAAAAAAAACTGAACACTAATAAAACTTCATTTTCAATCAATCATAAAATAAAAAAAAGATATAACAGTTTAACATGTTAATGTGACTGTCATGTTCAGATCATCATCTGCTTTCTAGAAGCTCTGCTTTAAGAAGTCACTTCTTTATTGCAATATAGTGGATACAAAACCTAACCATCAAAACACACCTTAACCTAAAAATACTAAACAATAAGTTTTTATTCTGAATTTAAAAACAATAGCAAATTCTTGTTTCAAACCTAAAGCTCATTCTTGAAAACAAATAATCATTACCTTTATTGTTCTAATCAATTTTGGAGATTCACATGTTGCTCCAATTACATAACTAAATCTTTATTTAATGTTTAATCCAAACCAAAAACCTACCAATCAATTTATTTCATGTGAAGAACAAACGACAAAACAAACTAACAAACAAAATATAAAAATATTCATGATACAATTCATAAAAATAATCTTAATTTAACTATAGTAAATTTTACTGTAAAACACAGTATTTTCTGGAAGATGAATTATCTTGTCATAGAAGAGACTAATTTAAATTTATATACGTGTCCAAGAAATAGACCTTTTTAGTAGCTTGTACCAATTATACCATTTACTGACTACCAGTACACTAACATAAATCTGAATTATAACTGCTTTATAATTATTTTTAACAGTTAAAAAACATACTGATAAAGATTTTTAAATATTAAAAAAGATTGCAATACCATAATACTTACTTACGAACCCTATCTGCCATTCCCAGGTTGTCTGTACTGCCTGAACTCAACCACTGAACTGTGACTGGAGGAACAGGACTACTACGTTCTGACATGGACAATGCTTTTTCTATCGAACTGGTAGACATTTTCCCAGCTGAAGACTTTGATGCTACACTAGGAGTTGAAGGAATTCTTATTCTCTGGTTTCTTTTAGGAAAAGTTGATAATCCATTGTAAGGTGAGGTTGAACAAGAATCCTCACTCCTGAACCCTTCGTGGATGTGAGAATGTACAGGCACCAGATGTTTGGGGTGCTGAGTAGAAACTGTAATAGGATGAAAATGATGAAACTCTAGACTTTGGGTTGGGGAAGGTCCAGCATAACTATACTGGGAGGGACAGCCAGGTGGAGAGGGACTGAAGCTGTAGTGTCCACTGTCTTTAACACCATACCTTCCACTATAACTCTGGGGTTCAGCCACAGAGCCTGATTCTGTAGTTGAACCACTTAAAAGAGAATCTCCACTACGGGAAGAAAATACAGAGAGCTCTTGTGGAGAGGAGTAACGAGAGGAAGTGGGGAGAGGCACACACATAGGGCTGGAAGAATGAGGATGATGAGGGTGTGGATGAGGAGGCCCTCTCTGCCCACTACTTAAAGTATAAAATATATTCTGTGTAGCAACATTTCCTCCAACTCCAAGAGGTACTGGGTTAGGGTATAAGTGGCTTGAATTCTTAAGCACCAAGTTTCGTTCTGCAATAGGAGATGTAAGAACTAAACTGTCAGTACAAATATAAGCATTTGCTTCTAAAGGAGAAGAAAGGGTTTTCCCATACCTTAATGAAACTGGAGTGGCTGGGTTTAAACACTCACTATTGATCACGCCATAATGTGCTGACCTAGGTCGTTGTCTTCCTTTATTTTTATAATACTCTAGGACATCTTTGTCTCGGTGAGCTGATACCACTGAATAGTCCAAACAGGATTCTGGTGATGTTGGACTATTGAAGCGTACATCCAAATGATCTGAACTACGATTACTTATATTTGCTTTTAGTGGACCTGATGACAAGGCCATCATATAAGGAGAAGCTGCACTGGAAGACACAGGTAAACTGGATGGAGGAGAGATAACAGGCGAATGATCAGGTGATGTAAATCTGTCAATAATAGGACTTTCTTGACTACGAATCTCCTTTTCAGTATGAAGGTGAGATACATGTGACTGTGATGATGGATTTGTGATGCAGTGTGTTGGTGGTTCAAACACACTTAACTGTTTTGTTACATTAGCTAATGACTTCCTTTCTTTTCGTTTTTGTGTCTGAAGAGTAGTGACAGTGTTAATATTACTAAAATCAATAGGAGGACCTTTGTATTTAGGCCACGTTCCACCTGTGTGTTCTCGAGCTTTCCATTTCTTACTAGGTTTACTGTAATGATCTAGCACAGAGTCTAACTCTGCAATAGGATCTTCTTCCAGTGTATAGCTGTGAGAAATACTGGAGGCATGACTTGATTTCTTTTCTTTATTATGTCGCCTGTCTCCAAAGATCTTGTGGTAGGCTTTGTCCAAGAGAGTGGACTGAGATGTAGGTCCATAAGATCTGCTCTCGCTATGATGCTTCTTTCGGGAGGTTTGTGTGCAGTCACTCACATAAGAAGGAACAAACTGTCCCTGTTCAGTCTGAACTCCACTTGACCTCAACTTTATTCTGTGTTCATCCATATCTTCAACTAAAGTATGTTGTTTTCTTGGAGAAGATGGTAGACTTCCTGAATAATGAAAAAATTAACTGTATAGACACTAATTGATGGCCACTTGAGGCATTATTATGAAAAACTACATATATTGTTGTTCTTTACCTAAAACACACCAATGAGAAATGGTTTTTAATATAACAACATTGATTTACATGTCTTGTATATAACAGATGAGCAAATTTAGTACTATATTATTGCATATTTATCATAAAAATTATAAACACTGTCATAAAAAATCTATTGTTTTGAATCAAGTATAAAAACATTTTATGAAATATAATAATAATCATGAATAACAAAACTAAATTTTCAAATAAATACTAAAAACAGCATTTGTGCAATGGTTAAAGAAAACTAACACACACCACAAAGTTAAAATGCACTACACGATAAAACTTTAATAAAAAAGGACGACTAGCTCTGTTAGATGTTCTCTATATTTTTCAGTACAATCTACATCAGGAGGAAGCAAGGAGTTACAGTTGGAGACAGTATACATATATACCTTAACAACTACACATGCATACAAAATTTAAATACTTTAACATAATTAACCAATCTGTTACACTCTTAACATATATAAAAAAAGATTTCCAAAAAACTAATTTCTATAATACCTGGGCCAAGATCTTTATTTAGAATGATACTGTAGTTCTTCACAACTTCCAAAGATTCTGTTATATTTTTTATTATAAACTTCAATAACCAACTGAAAGAATTATCAGCACTTGCCACATGTCCAGTAGAAGCTAATAAATTGCTTTGTTTATCTATAGCATTTTTATGTTCTTTAACTTTAAATTTCTACATATCTGACCAATGTGAATTAAACCACAGTTACAAAGAATTTCATATATATCACATTCATCATTCTGTTCTACTTTATCTTTAGAATCACTAATAAAACTTTTTAACTTATAACAAGGAGAAAACATTACACTACAATAATGCTATTTTTAAAAACATTACTTATTGGCATGGAAATACCTTAAGCATATGGCAAGTATACCCTCATACTATCCGAATAAGTCTTCACATGCATTTTAGTACATTACTACTTTTAATTTATTATGGTACTTGTAACTTATGTTGATAACTTTAGGACCAAATCCTCTATTTAAGGCAACACACTTTAAAACGTTTAACCTACACATTAAATTTTTATAACAGGTACAGACTTTTAAAACTATAAAAACATATGTAGAGAAAGAAGCAATTTTTACAACCAGGGTTGACACAATTCCCAGTGTGCATCCACAGAACAAACAAAAATAGCTTTCTTCCTACCAATATCACTAACCCTTTTCTTGTTTAACAGTCTTACCCAAATAATTTAAACTAACCTCCCTTTACGTTTTTTAACATGAGCTGAATGTCAGTGCTAGGTATCACTACCATCTTGCCACACAAGAAACACATAATCCAAATATCTCAATCATGCACCTTGTTTAAACAAAACTGTACTTAAAGCACAGATTTAAAAATCATGCATAAACAGCTCACACTGCTTTTCTACCTTATCAGTTTACTTAACATATTGAAAAATACATACAACTCAAAATGTTAACATGCAAAAAAAATACAATGCCCTAAAAACCATTATAATTTAACTGGCTTTCAAACTAGGCAGTAAATGGATTAAAATGATTCCCTTACCTGGCTGAGGCAACCTTGGAAATAATAACAATGAATTTGTATGCCCAATAGTTCAAGAACTTTTGTTAAATTGAGCTAGTCTTACATGGAAATCAGTAAATTAAAAATCTTCTCTTTCTATTGGTTATAAATAATCCAACAGCAAATGTCAGACAGAATTACTGACATTTTTTGAAAGACAGTATACGATAGGAGGGCTTGGTACGTAGGTTTGTTTGACTTTCTGGCTTATATTTCAGTGTAACAGAAAGACTGGGCTATATAAACTTATTTTTTATCTTAACAATATCTATTCTATAAATGAGTACCACTTAAATCAAACTCAGAAGGTCAAATAGAAGTAGTAAGACAATCTAAAATGAGCAAGTTGGAGAGAAGAAGTGTCAGGTGTTATACAGAAGTAAAGGCTGAGAATTTATTTAAATATTTCACTATGAACATAAAAATTAAATTATAAACTATGTTTTGATGCCATGCTTGTTAACACACACACACACACACTGATAATAAAGTTTTTAATTAAACCTTCAATGTAACTCTGAAAAAAGTTGTGACAAATACATTTTTACCAAGCTGTATCTATAGGGTTAAAAGCAGAGTCTAAATGTTTATGCTAAAGATAAAATTCCCATTAAAATGTATGTAGCTATAAGTATTTAATGATGACATGTTTTGTGACTGATAACAGAATACACTGGATGTCTCAAGCAGTTAAATGATTTTGACATACTTCAGAAAAAAATTTAAAATATGTCAACCAGTTTTGTGCACTTACTGTGCTCTTGATTATAGCGTGGGCCCCCTTCTTTGTCCATTAAGTTATGTCCACTTGAGGCTGAACTTGGAGGAGAGCTACTGGCAGAGAAGTACTTCACTATCTGAAGAATAATGTGTGGACCAGCACTATCCAGCATGTGTTGGACTTCCAATATGGACTGGGTACTGCTTACCAGCTTCCCATTGATCTAAACAAACAAACATGTTGTTTCAAAATATTCTAAAGTTATGAAGTATCAAATATATTTGTTCATACTGGATGACAAGTATCATACCATGACTATCAGAGTATTTCATTTTTATATTGGCTCTCATCATTCCTGCTTGATCAACAAGTGACACTGTTAGCCAAAACATTCTCTCTTTTTGATTTGGCTGTACTGATAGAAGCTGATATAGCTTAAAACTGCAATATTCAGTTAATCACAGAATAAGATTTGTTATCCAGTATGAGCCGGGATATTTCATATTTTAAAATATATCACCAAAAGGTGAACAAAACCGAAGTGCTAAGTTTAGAAGGAAAACAAACACAGCATCGCACCCTCAACAGCTATGAAAGCATTCATGGGTGTGACTGTGTATGTGGGTATAAACAAAACCTATACCTTTTTAAAATGATTCTTTAAACTCAGGTTTATTGCTTTGTAATGGAACTTCCATTGGTAAATAAAGAGCAAACTTAAGATCAATATTTATCAGTTAAATTTTAAACCAAATTAATTTTTCATCATGTAAATAAAGTGGTAATAAGCTGTAATTATTTTTTATTTTCATTTAAATTATATTTTACATGTACCTATAACATATAAAATGTTTTATTCACAGTGCATACACACACACAATGATCTACTATGAATCAATCAGAAATGCCAAAAAATATATTTATACATATATAAAAGTAAAAATATTTTCCACAGAAACCAGATTTTACACATATGAAATACCACACTGAAAGACTTAGAACAACGACTTGAAAAATTTATTGTGTTTTAAGGCTAAGCAGACAGTTGTTGTAATGCACAAATGCTTCAGAGAAATCCTATCTTTTACTGCTTGAGACTAAATACACACCTGTGGAAAATATTTTTTACATACTTCTTTGCTTGAAATGTGTTTCTACATAAATACAAGAGGGTAATAGTGAAAATATGCATTTCACATTAAACTGTATCAAACCATGCACATTCACTATTTGCACTCACAAAAGGTAAAGTAATCACAACATCACTTTGGACAATTTCAAAGTTTTAAATTCAAGTAAAACAGACATAGTACTAATAATAAAACAAAAAAGAGCCGATCAATAAAACTTTCCCCTCTTTAAATCACACTGCCAAGCTAATTTCAGTTAGTTGTTCATTTTATCACTTTCTTGTTATTTACTATTAGTTATGTCCTCGCTTCTTTCTTTCTCTCTCTATCCTGTTGCATATGCCTCTATATCAAATTCATTTTTTTGTTCAATGTTACTTTTATATTTTAAGCCTACAAATTCAATGTTTCACAAAAAATATGGAGTCTGTATGCCTTGAATAGTGATACCTCAGCAAAATATGAAAAGGAGGCTATGCCTCCTTACAGTTTTGAACAAATAATATCTTTCTTATTTTTATTTTAATACCTACATTTTCTTTGCTTCAGCCATAAAATTATTGAAGAACTGCATAATTTTGTAACAAAATGCTCAAAACTCTCATTTCAATTTATGCTGTTTATTGAAATGACATCTGGCAGCATGAGGCGTACAGTAGTTATGCCCATCAGCTTTTTTCTTTTAGTTCATACAATTTCTCCATGCTGCAAATGAAACAACCGAGAGGAGCCAAGCCTTCTTACTAAGATTAACACACATTTAGAAGCTGGCCACACAGCTTTTGGAGCTAATTAGAATATATATTTTAAAAAAACCAATGAAAATCATTTTAAGAAAAGTCTGTATATGTGAGGAGTACACAAGCCTTGTATTGATCAAGGACCGGTACAAATTTTATGATGATGTAATTAAGGGTATAAACAACTAAAAGCAAGCTCTATTAAATAATGTGCAGTGACTTAGTAACAAAGTTCAACCAATTAACTTGATTTGAAGGTTATTTTGGAATTTTTACAGCTCAAATAATAATTAGGCTTTGCTCTGGCATGATGATGTTACCAATGTGTATGCAGTTACAAAAGATGAATGAACCTAATTCATGCATAAATAAATCAAGACGCCTTAAGAAAGCACATTTCATTGTCCTTTATTTTTCATGGTGGGGTTGAAGTATATTGCTCTTAAATAATAACTGTGAGCCACCACTGATGGTTAAAGGACCAAAATAAAATGTTCATTTTCATAACTTTCCTGATCTTCTTGATTAAATTACGATTCAGGTATGACAAGGTACAATAATGACATAGAATACAAAACATTTAATGTCTAGAATTAGGCATTTTGATATCAAAACATATTTCAAAAACAGGTTTTAAATAAAAACTACTTAATTATTACTTAGATCTTGTGCTGAAGATTGTTAGAATACAGTAAAACACCACAGTCAAAAAAATTTAATTGAACCTTATTTTCATGACAATACATTCTCATATCATTGTCCAATTTGAACTTTAGTTGTTTGAGCACAAGCTGTATAAAAATCTAAACTATGTACCTTCACATAACAAACAAGTAACTAAATAATTTGGGTTGAACTTACAGAATGTACACGATCCCCCACAGAAACAGTCCCTTCCCTTGCTGCCAATGACCCTGGTTCAATACGGCTTACATACACTCCTCCTTTAAGAGTTATTCCATGTTCCAAACTGCCTGAGGCCAACAAATTTACAGTCTGGTAAATTCTGTTGCTTGTGAACTGTCGTCTACGTACAACCTGTTTAAAAGAAAAATATAATGTTATAACTGAATGCGAATGTGCAAAAATTTGAGCAAAGGTGTAAAATAACAAATTTGGAACAGAAAATTAAAATCCCTTAAAGGAAACTGGTAGGTCATGCAAATTACAATCTTTATTGAAACACAAAAAGAGTCAAAAACAAAACACAAACAAGTGTTTGTTTAGCACATGTGAAACTGGAGAGAGAAAGAGATGAATTCTAAGTTCTTAAAAGTTAGAGTTTAAAATTTCCATTACTGTCAAAGTTCTTTAAAGTTAAATTACATTCCAAGTTGATGAAGTTTAAATCTTAATTTAAACATTACCAAGTTGTTCAAAATCTCCAGAAAAACTGAATAAAATCTCTCATACTTACATCTCAACTAGATATGAATCTCAAACAAAAGTTAAAATTTTTAAAGAGTTCCAAAATTTCTATAAAAACAAAGAAAATCTTGCTAAATCTGAAAAATAAAGAAAAACATAGCAATATATACAAAATTCTCTCTATCTCCTTGACTAAGGGCCACTCAAATCAACAACATGGTGTCAAAGCCCTTAATCATCATGTTTACCAAGAGAAATGATCACTGTCATTACCTATACTGTATCACATGCTAGAGTCAAATCAACAACATGGTGTCAAAGCCCTTAAACATCACCATGTTTACCAAGAAAAATGTTCACTGTCATTTACCTATAATGTATCACATGTTACAGTATTCTTTCCTAATAGGAAACACTATGAAGTCTTTGGTGACTCAGCCAATCCTATGAATAACTAAAGATGATAGAGACTTAGCAATTCTCTTTGGACCTACGAACTATATTACAACAAAGTTGAAGTAAACAGAAATGTTGAAAAAATTATCTAGGAAATGATGGGGCACAAAAACGTATAACAGCTTCTCATACCTCAAAACAACAAGAAAAATTAATAGTATGAACACAAGATTTAACCATCACCTAACAATCTAGTATATTTTATTTTTGTTTAAATTTTCTCTACCTCTTTGATCCTATTATTAAGTATGGTAGTACTTAATAGTAGGGATCGACAAGGTTTCCAAATAATTCACGTGCCGCAAAACCACCCTATTGAATACCTAAGAAAAAAAATTACCATTCAAAGTATTGGTTATAATATGCATATATATAATTAATAACATGCTAAAAAGGTCGCTAACATTTCTGATATAACAATTAAAAAATTTCCAAAACAGGAACTTTCTTGTCTACTACCTATCTACCTACCTGATCACGTCAGCAGGGCTAGCCCCTAGACAGATTGAATTATCGCTACAAGATTTCTGAAGCTTACTCGACTGGTCTGTGGGTATCCACTTTTGACATTCCGATAAATATATTCAGATTTTTTTATAGATGGTAAAAATATCATGCACATACTTAAATATCTTTTCAACCTAATTAAAACCAACAGATGACGCTACATATCAATGGATAGACACCAGACAGTTTTTAGAAGTAAAGTATACACCTTATACAGGTATAACATAAAAAGTAAACAAACAAGAGTGTTAAAAAACTATGAATTTTAAATTTAAGTAGGGATCCTACAACAAAAAGTAATGAAACAGAATTAAAACCACAATACACAATTTATAAAATTCAATCCCTACTTTGGCAGCTTTATACACTTATTTGTAGGCCAAAGTAACGATGGCATTTTATAAATTTGTGATTGTGGTTTTAATTCTTGTTTCATTACTTTTTGTAACAGGATCTTTACTTCATTTTAAAAATTCATAACTTTTAATACTCTCGTTTTTAGTTTAAAGTAGGCCAGCCATTTATGGGGTACTCATAACATGTTTTGCAGACTGAAGGGTATTTGTAAACTACAGTAAGTGAAAGACTTCACAAAATTATTGCTTCATGACCAATAAACTTCTACATTCACTTCAAACTAGTTTTCAGTGATTCAAAACAAACAAACATGCACCATCAAAAAAAGCTTAATAATAATACTTTTTTGAAAAACTGCATCTAAAATATCATACTACTGTTTCATATGTGAGGACAGTTATGAAAAGATGCAAGTACACTAACTGTTTTTCCTTTCTTCTGCTCTCTAGAAAACACTGCATCTCCTTGCCTCCAAAAAAATATTCAGATGCGGAGCGGAGTTGTACTCTAGACCACTTAACATTAGTTAAGACAACAGACTTACATGAACTAAAATTAATTGGTATTTGCCAACCCATGACAAACTTCACCTTTCTTTATTTAATTATACTATCTACATTTACTCAGTTTTTAATGGGCCTAAGTTAGTTTTTATGGAATTTCATATAGTGTGTAATTTTCTGAATAAATTTGGTTAAAAGAAGTAATTTACATCTAAAAACCATAAATGGTAACTAGTGTGAAGGAAATTTTGCTCACAAGAAAATGAGTGTCAGAAATATAACTGTTACACTAGTCATATAATCAAAGCAACTGAATCACTTTATATTCATAAAAGATTGTTCCATGAATTGTGTGCAGCTTAAAAGTTGTATATTTAAAACAACTTAAAATTCTAGAATAGAAAAATTGTTCACTTTTACACATTATATGAAATTTCTGACATATGAAACACTAAATATATTATATTAATACTTGAACATTTAATGGAAAATATCTTAAACATTTATAATTCATATGTATATTAGAATGTTCTACATTATTTAAGTTTAATATTCAAAGTTTAAGTTTTAAACTAGATCAGTGCTATAAATTTCCAACTAATAGAGAACTTGAACACAGCTAAGTGTCTTGCTGGCAAAAAAAATTTTTGTCACATATTTTCAATATAAACTATAGTGGCCACTATTGAAATTGTTGTATTTTTATATCATAAGTGTCTTATGACAGTATTAAATCTAAGTTTCTTGTTTATATAATTTTTATGTACCTGTCTTTGTTTGAAGTGAAAGATTTATCAGTACACTTCTATGACAAACTCAGTAGTGAAAATCCCACCCCACTACACCTCTGATTACATCTATAAGTTGCATGACCTCAAGTATAAGTTATGTTAAGTAAGTTTCAAGTTGACCACTGCATCTCCTTGTTTTCAAGAATGTAGGTAATTTGCCCGAGTAACACCTTCTGCTTGGGTTTTCTTATACAACACTGACAACTAATTATCGACATTTTACTTTCTTTACCAGTAAGCTAAGTATTCAGAGCAAAAAAAGTTAACAAGTACAAAGAAGTGGCAAATTGTATTTGTATGGCACTGGCTTATATCTACAGGACTAACTTCACTTTCAATACTCTCGTTTTTGATAGCAAATAAATCACTTAAAAATCATCAAAAACTATATACTGGGGTATTGCACATCAGCTTAAGTGCTACTTGTGTTTCTGTCGCAGGCAGTTATCATGATGTCAATTCACAGGTACATGTAGCTGGCTACAATTTGTTCTATTTCCAGTGGTAACAATGCATACATGAAAACTGTCTCATTGAATGTAAATAAAAATCAAATAAACTTTACAGAATATCAGAAATATCTTTTATACTGAATGAGCTTTTTCCATGTTCTTTTTTATGACAGGAATGACAAAATAATAAATAGGAAAATTGGCCAAGCATTTCCACAGGCAAAAAAAAAAACTCATTGATCACTATATAATGATATTTTTGCTATAAATTTATCATTTTTTTAAAACTTTTAACTGTGCTTACTATATAGCAGGTTTGTTTTCTAATTTATTACTCTGATATAGCTTCAGGTGTATACCTTTACTGTTTTTATGAGTAATGAAGTCCCAAAATAAAAAATAATCAGCTTATGACCTGGATGGGTGTGTTACATAGTGACGTAATATACAGCTATGTAACATAATTGTTTTTATTTTCTTAAACATTTCTAATTTAGTAAAAAAATATGTAATTTAGGTTCAAAATTATTAAGTGTTTACACCTTTACTATTTTATAAGTAATAAAGTCCCAATATAAAAAATTAATCGACTTATGACCTGGATGATTTTTGGTTTCTTTTCTGAAAAGAACTGTAGCTTCCTGAAATTTCATCACATGCTCAAACAGTCTTGTAAGCTAAAACATATCCCCTGTATGCTATATAAAAAATATAATAATGTGAAAAAGGTTGTGTTAATCACAAACCTAATGATAGAATATGAATCAAAATATTACCCTAACTTCAATTTTTCTTCCACCAATTGTAATTTAGATAGCTGAATTATTTACAGATAACACCTATGCAGATAAAACTTAACATATAATACAAAGCTGTAATATTTGAATATATATTTATCATTTTTTTCTAGCTCCAACACTTTGAAAGTAATGAACTCTGGTAGTGTGAAAAACTGTAAAATTCAATAAAATGCATTTTTTGCTTTATAACTTACAAGCTTCTGAAGTTAACAACATCAGAATTATATCATCTGAAAACTGGGATTATTTTCTTCCTGGCAGTCTATTTGTCATAAAGCTCCCTTTCTTCCTGTAGATTTCTAAGCTTTTAATTATTTTTTTAGAAGCCATTCTTGATTGCATGCTTTCAAATAATCTCAGTATATCATTGTTTTGTTTTTCTTTTGCACACTGCGTAAAGGTAATAAATTTAGTTATTCCCATTTGTTTCTTTTGTTGTAGTAATTATTTGGCACTTTCTTTTCACTAAATAAAACCTCCTGCTGATAATTGGAAATTACCAATTGTTATGATACCTTTCACCCAAGAATGAGCTAAGAGTTTAGTGGGGATTCTTTTAGAAACAACAGTAAATAATTAAAAATGAAAATAACAAATTCAGAGGTCATTTTCATAAATAAAATAGAGTTTTGACAGCCATGGTGGGCATAGCATAAATAATACACTGCACAGATTTGCACTTAACAACAAAACAAAAAAAGTAACATAAATACTATTTATTTGTATTATTCTGAACAATATACGGGTATTTTATTGCAAAATTTCTTTCAGAAAAGTAGACTAGTACATAACATTAGACTTGTTATTGTATTTGTGCTAATAAATGTGTGTGAATCCTGACTTTCAGGTAAACACTTAAAGGTGTGTTACATAGTGACATAGTATACAGCTATTTAACATAGTAGTTTTTATTTCCTTACAAAATTTATAATTTACTAGCAAAATATCTAATTTAGGTTAAAAAATATTCAATGATTGTCATGCAATATGTTTGAACTGTCTTTGTTTCAGTTACCATAATGTTAATGAGCTTTTAATTTTTATGAATGTAGAGATGGCCAGTAAAATGCTACTCAGATAGAAAGGGATACAGACACATGCATAACTTTTACATCGTATTCAAATCTAAAAATTTTAATTAAGGATAAATGATTCACGAGACTTTTAAAAAATCATACTAAGTAACTATCAGTTATTACACAGCCTAAAAATATTTTAAACCTTACTAATGTTAAGTTTCCTTCTCCACCGCGAAGAGCCTCCCAGACAACGTGTCTTTCTACTGATGTCACATCAACTCCATTTATATTTAGTATACAATCATTCGTCCTGTGAAATATAGTAGTCATAAAAATCTTTTGCAACTTAAAAGCAACTAAATTCCAAGAATACTGACCTTTTCATAAAGCTGATTTCTTATTCTCTTCAATATAACATCAACAAAACTGCATTAAGTAAAGTATCTTTTAACAAAAGAATAACAGGGATTTCATCAGGCATAAAAACTGATAAGAAAGCATATACTAGTAACATAATTTATATTTGAATGAACTTGTAAAAGTCAATGATAGTGTTCCAAGCTAATGGTAAACCACCTTAATTTGTAACAGTTTATGTAATAGTTTTCTATTTTTAAACAGCTTTTGTTTCTCTGGTAATATGTGCAGTAATAGGTCATAAGGATACTGTAGCTTTTAAGTTACTTTGCCATGATCAGTAACAATAAAAAAATGTCTGGGTCTCTTTTACATACCATTTTAAGAGATCAAACACAAAACAGTATTATGAATATATTTTGTTAATAAAATTACTTTTTCTTAATACCAATTGAATATTTTACAGAAAGAAAGTCTTCCAAAGTTTCATGACATAATTTTCAGGAATTTTGAGGGTCATGTTAGACCAATTACAATATATTCCAATGCTCTTCACCAGTCATCTCGATAACAAGTGCAGTGTGTCAAACCTGTTACAAATATACAACAATCACATCCAAGGCTAGAACAGTATGAAACCTTTTTTTACTCAAATCTTAAAAACAATCTTCTAAGTGAAAATTAGATAAGGTTAACCAATACCACACAATTTTTTCAAAATTTTCTCACAGCTAAACTGGTATAACAAGTTATACAAAAAATATGCTACAGCAAACATTTTTATTAATATGTATTACATTTGTTTTCAAAGAAAAAATTTCTGAGAAAAAAAACTAAGTTTCAAAATTAGTTTTAAAGCCCCCCCCCACACACACAAAATAGATCAAAATTAATTTTAAAGCCTCCCACACACACACACACACACACACGAAAGAGACCAAGTATTTTAAATAGCATGAAGCTGCTGGTGAAAAAATCTATGGTTATTTAGTTGAATCAAACAGTGTTCAAGTTTGAATATTTCCAAAGATCCCATAAATTTCTGCAAATATCTTATGGTATAGAAGATATTCAATAATTTCAAAAAAGTTAATCTAGAGGCAACTTGCAGAGAAAGATGCACTTGGCTGGTCAAGCTCTGAAACAGTCCCACAAAGGTTAACAGATAAAAAGCTTGGAGTACCTCATGAAGTAATTTCTAATATATACCTTAACTTTCCATCAGCTGGGCTTCCTTTCATCACACTTGTTATATACACTGATGGATCACTAGGATAATGCTGATCATCTTTACCACCACCTATGTCAAATCCAATGTCATCTTTACTGGTCCCTCTCTGCATAATAACAAAATACAGTTGTTATTGCACATATTGTATTTCTTGATAGTATTTTCTTACAAACAGGATGATATGATTTCTCTTCAAACAAAGTGGTCTATTATTCATTAGGTTTTGTGGCTACTTAAGACACAGCATCAGAAACTAGATATTGATTAATCCTTACCATTAATGCTATGAACTTGATTTAAAAAAAAAAAATACTAGTTTTATCTTTTACCAAAAATTACATAAAAACACACTCCTCACCGTAGCCATCAGGTTGCTTCCAGCTGTAGTTCTCACATAAAATGCATATGTAATTTACATGAAACTACACCTTTCCTCATAGTATCGCTATCAGCATACATTACAGATATCATGACCTAATTATGTTTAAAATTGTTCATCTCATAAGCCATGAAAATTACATCTTTGCAACAGATAAGGATCCTGTAAACTTAATTTGTTTTCACTTTAAACATTTGTTGGATTTTACATAAACACAAGAATTGTAAATATAAACATATAATTGCAACTAAAAAAATCTGTAGTATTGCTATGAAGAAAAAAACCTTCCTTTACATATATATTTCTTGATTATAGTGAAAGTCCAATTCTGAAGTTGTACATCATAACCTGACTTAAGAAGGTCAAAACATTGTTCTTGTACTTTATTTTAATTAAAGTTTTTAATATCCATACCAGCCATCTCTGCTATATAACATAGACAAAGTATATTACAAACCTAATAAATATATCTCCAATGTAAAGATAAATATTGAAGACATACTTACATTATGTCATACCTTTCCATTCAGGTAAGTCTACCATTTTAGAAATTGAAAATTTTACTTTAAATTGGCCACATTTCAACTACTAAATTTACCAAATCTATACATTTAAATTGTATTCCTTTTAATATTTATCTTTCATGAAGTTTAAATTATTGTTTTTCATTTTATTTAATTAAAACAATATATCCTGCCTCTAGAACTCTATATGAAATGCCATTATTTAACATGTGGCATTCTTTTTTGATATTTAATCTATTATTATAAATGAATAGACAAATGAGTTTACCATTGTTTAAAATATCAAACCTTATGGTCTTCTTTATGTAACTAACAAATTACACTTGTGTGTCTTTTCAAACTTTCAAAATTATGTTAACAGATTTGAGAAATGGTAGTGTCCTGAATGTCATTTAATAAAATTGCTTTTATTGGCAAAATTTAACATATTCTATTGGTAATTTCAAGTTAGAGTCAAAATGGTTGCAAGGACATTTTTAATGTAGAAGACTTACAACCAGTTTACACAACTGATTCAGAAACAAAAAAAGGGGGGAGGGAGGGAATCTATCTGACATCAACAAAATTATGCCATCCCCCACCTCCCAAAGCCTACCCTCAAAGTGGGAATAACAGATACAAGAGGGAGTGGGAATGATGAATACGTATTACCATCAAAGGCTAATCTGGAATGACAGAGATAACAGTGGAGAAAAGTTAAAGCAGAATGCAGTAATGTAAACCATAAACCACACAAGTCACAAACAGGATGTAAGAAGTATCCACCTATAGTGAACTGGGGTCAAAGAACAACAAAACAATAGGCTGAGCTTTGTCTAAACCTTTTAAATCAATGCCAAATTGGTTATTATTTTTAAGTTTTGAAAAGTCAAATTACAAAATCAATAGCCACCATTCATAAAAGTGACAAAGATATTACTGGAAAAGTACATTTAACAGTCAAAATAACAATTTTTCAAAATTTAAGAATTTTATTTTATAATATGTAGTTTTAGAAGATTTATTCAGCTGGTGGGAATAAATATAGGCCAACAAGCAATGCTAACATAGTACCTTGCCACTTATTCAAAAGTTTATGGCTGTTTGAATATGTTAGATGTATCATATGTAGGCCATAAATAAGTTTCATGTATAAAATAGAGTAAGATAAATATTATCTATTTATATATTAGTTTAAATACTTTGGACAATATTGTATAACACCATTTGTTACAATAAGTTGGCCTAGCATACACATCATTAGACCTATTGTTTGTCTACTAGCTGCAACCCATGAAACATTTGTGGTAGTTTCCATGTCCTTTGCTTGAATTTTCCTATCATTTTCAAACAAACACCATTTAAGCTACGTTTTCTTGCAACAATTACATGTCAGACCAATAAATCCTCGTCTATTTGGAAAGAATTTTTATGCAGTCAGACAAACAAACTCACATAGACATAACTATATTTAATAAAATTAATTTTAAGTTAAAGAATAAAGTAATGGTACAAACAACAGTGTACAAAGTCTGAAACAATTATTAGCATTCAGTGTACGATACAATTTTATGAGTTGAAACAAAGTCACAAAAATGAAGAATAAAACCTGCAGTAAAGAAAAAAGCAGCCTATAAAATGAACTGAAGCTAAATTATTGCAAAGTAAAGTAAATATAAAGTTGTAATGAGAGCAAACTTAGCTAAATATGCAGAAAGGTCTGAATGCATGTTCACAAACAAACAAGCATATGGTTTTGAATGAACTGCGCATGAGTATTTTAGACCTAAATAAGTTGAGAAGGGCCATAAAATTGTATTTTGTGTATAATAATTTTTTCAGGCAATTACATGTGGGTTAAATGTTGTTTGTGTGAAATACTTTGCAAATAAAAAACTAAAGATGAAATCAAGCCTGTCGAGGGCAAATGTCACGTGATAACAATGACATTGTTCCATTGTATACCATACTCATTGCATTGAAAAGTTTGACTAAGCAAAAAGCAGGTAAGGAGATTCTGAATTGGAAACCCAATATGCAATCCGGACCCCACACACAAAGACCTTTCTAACAATATGAGATCTATAGAGTTTGATAAAAAAAAATTGAGAAAAATTCTGGACAGACAAATGCAAGTGAATTTTTTATATAGATGTATCACACTCTTACCACATCAGCAATTATACAATGCATGGATAATGGCATAGTAAATGACTATGTAATGTAGTGATTTGGAATGTATTATAAATAACCAAGTAAAAAAAAAATTACGTTTATGTTTCAAAAGATTGCATATATAACAGGGGAGGATTGGCATTAACCCTTTAGAGATGGGTCATGGGTGAAAGGCCATGTCATTTCATTTGTTGGCTCGCATTCAAAATTTTATTGAACTGCTATTTCATGAATTTATGCAATAAGTTTGGTATTAAACTGTAGATTATAATTCAAATTTTAATACAATACATTACTCAATTTCTTAATTTAAAAGTAAATATTAAAAACACAGATTTTTGTGTGTCACTTGGTATGTTGAATACAGCACTGCTTCAAATTAGATGTTTCTGAAGTCAAAATACTAAGTCTATAGTTTTGTACGAATTAGAAACTCAATTTACCAATATTGAAAAGCTAGAATATAAGATAAGAACGTCTTATCTTTTCTGTTTGCTAAGATATTGTTGATGTAATAAATCAAACATACTGGCACCCCGCCCACCTCTTTCCATTTTTGGAAAAGCTCCCTTACTTCTATATATGACATGAATAACCAATTGGAAGCTCAGAATGTCCCCCTAGTGGCTTTCTCAGCCATTTTTCTGGCTTGGACACCATTTCTTTCATTTGAACCAATATTTCAAGGAGGTAGGGTGTGTCTTTAGTCTGTTGGAAATTTAATTTTTCTTTTTATTAAAATACATCTTAGTGATTGAGCTTGATAAATTATTGCGGAATTCTATGGTATTGATGCAGTAATTTATGATTTTTTAGTTATTCATATGTATATATATAAAACATAAAAAAAAATATTTTGTTTCATATCCTCAATGTGCAAAATTTTTAAAGGCTTAGCAACCTACGTCAAGCAGTAACTGAGTACAAAGGTTGTAACTAGAAGAGATAATTGTTTGCTTTACTTCTGTATTTACTGTTCTATGTTTTAAGAAAAATAAGTTTAACAACTTATTTCTAAATAGCAATAATCTATATGCATATATAATGTATGATAATTGAAATATGACTGTATTTTACAAAATACTAGTCAACTAAAACTCAGCCAAGACAAGTTACTTTGTACAGACCAAAGATCAGTTTTATGTTATTGGATACAGTAACATGAGTGCACATGAGCCACATCATTGTAACTTCTGTATTGTTAGCCAGGCACGGCTGAAAAGTCAATATAATAAAAAATAATAAATATATTATATATTATTTAGTCTAAACATTTATATTTTCATGTTATAATTTGTGTTCATTCTAGAATGGAAGAGGCATAATTTATATATTTTTTCCTATTTTTTATGGTGGTTACAAGATCGGTCAAATCTACTGGATCCATACAGAGATTCATTACTGAAAATAACAGATAAAATATAAAGTTTTTTCTTGAGAAATGTTTGATAACTATCTGGATATTATAAAGATTTCACATGTGAAATTACAAAATTTTCTGATGCATAAAAGTACTTTTAATCTTAAAATGAAAATTACTTTGCATGCTAGTTAGGCAACATATGAAAAGAAAAAAAAGGCATGAGAAAAACATTGCTTTACAAACCTTAAGACTTAAAACAAAATGATATTTTACATATGAAAGCATTGCAATGTTTACTAATAATGTGCCAAATTTCGTTAACATTCGCTTACTAATTAAAAAGTTATAGCATAAAAACTATAGCAATTACAAAATGGTTGCAAGGTCAGTCCCAGGGACCAAGTCCATGCTAAAAAAGAGTTAAATGACCAGTCAGGGCAATATCAGATGCTGCATAGTGGTTAAATAATTAAAACCTAAAATCAATTTTCCACTAGACAATTGCCCAGTGTCTTACTGGTACATATGTCTTATCTGTCCCTACATAGATATCATGTCATGTGTTTGAAATGTCCATGTTTCAGATTTGGTGACATTTATGAGTTATTATTTCTTATTTAAAAACATAAGCTTGGTGAAATACCATAAACTGGCTTTTAAAGGGTTATGAAATATTTAAATTACAGTTGAAAAAACTGCTTTTAAAAATTTATTTTATTTGCAATGTAAAAGAAATTATACCTTTTAATTCATCACACAAAAATTTTAATTAGTCATAAAGAACTTACGATATTAATCTCCAATGTTTCCATCTCCAGTTCTTGAAGATCTGTTTCAATAGCAGAATCCCTACTGTGAGTGTTACCAATTGAATTCAATTGCTTCATGCGAGACTCTTTTTCTAACTGGGCTTCAATCTTCTCCCTCCAAAAAATATAAAATCAAAGAATATTTTGTTTTTCATCTTTTGCAAAACATCAGAATTAACTACTCAGTAACATAAAACTCAAAAAATGTAGTGAAGCCAGATTACTATGTATGCAACAATATAAACAGATGTAGAACATTCTATTGTATAAAAGACACTTGAAACATTTTCAACCACCAAAGATTTATCAAAAAAATGTTAAACATGATTTACAATGTCGGGAACATACAGTATTATATTTCTTAATATATTACTTCATTTTTAACATTAGAACCTGATACTTTGTTTGTACATAGTTTTTTTCATGTGCCCACTGAATTATTTTGTACCTACAAATAGTCTCACACTCTTATTTCTTCTATAGAATTTATATAATTATTCTACTCACATATTTTTTAAATTGAACCTTTATTCTGTAGGGTTCCCACATTTCAGCCATTTTTCATGCTACTTTATAAACCTTACATCACCATTCATATCTACCTCATCCACCATGCCTTTTAAATTTTTTACAGTTCTATTCAATTTACAACATTTTGATTAAGTTAGTTGTTTAATGAAATGAAATTAACCATTATTATATCAGATAATGCATTCCATAAAGTCAGTTTTTCACAAAGCCACAATTCTTCAAATCTTTTCCACAACATTTATATTTTTCTCAATTATCCACAACATTTCCAGGCCTGGAAATTAACTTTGTAAGATTTCAGGTTTCCAGGAAGTGTGGGAACCCTGTTCCCTTCGTGTATATAAATATTTTGCAATGGCTACTTAAATGGAATATTTAAAACAAAATTTAAAAATTAATTTTATACAGTCAAATGCTTGTTTGTATAAATATGCTACAAGTATTTGAATTTGTCATTATAATTCACCCAAAGTTTAAAGTGCTGGGAATATTATTGCAAGAATTAGAACCTGACTTGCCAGCTCCAAAAAATCCAGAGTTCTACCACAGGGGAATAGGAAAACTATATTTTAGCCATAAAAGTTGTAATATAAATAGAACTTGATTGATAAGTGTACTGTACAGCTTGTTAAACAGTAATATTTAGTTGTTAATGAAATAGCATAAGGGTGAGTCTACTAAAAACAAACTATATCAGTTAAATCCTTCTCACATATAAAGCATTCTGGGAATTTTTGTACATTATAAATTAAAGTGAGCTCATAAGGTGACATAATTTGAAACTGTGGTCCTCGGCCTTCGTGATACAGTTTTGTTTCAACCAAAACCATTATATGAAACAACTCGCTTTTAAGCTAGTTATTTCATATAATGTTTTGGTAAAAATGAAAAGAATTCCATTATATATGAAATGAAATTTTATAATTCATGATTTTCTTTACCTAAGCTCCTTCACTTCTTTCAGTGCTTCATTTCTTTGCCTTTTAATGTCATCAGAGTCTCGAAGTGCTTCAGCTAAGTCACTAACTGCTCTATCTCGTTCTCGACGAAGTTTATCACAAAGTGTGCGAATACTTTCTCTTTCAAGAACAATTTTGTCCCGCTCACTGAAAGCCCAGTCTCTTCTTCGTTTACAAACCTCTGCTTCCTGTTGTGCTTCTGTAATTTGATAAGTGTATTCTTTATAACAAACAATTGAACCTATATTCTCTTTACAAATATAAATATTTTGCAATCCTTTAAATGGCTATTTCCCTGGAATATGTAAAACCAAGTTTTATACAGTTCAATGCTTGTTGTATAAATATGCTATAAATATATGAATCAGTCATTACAACATTCCAATAAAATTTTAAAAAAGAATAGGTATATAAAAACACGTAACTATTTCATTAAAGGTACAATTTGTATTTTGTGCCTGTTCTAAAAACTTTCTTGAATTTCCACACCTATAACTTACCTGCTAATTCTGTTTGAAGCTTTTCTACTTGTTTACGAAGAACTTCAATCTCCTCTGTTGTTTGATCCAAGTTATCTAACTCAGAAGCATGAGATTTTTTGGGACTCTCCCTTTGTGTCAACCTATAATCTCTTTCCTGTTCTTGTTCCTTTCCAATTGTTTCTAGGTCATATTTCTCCCAACATTTATCAAACTTCCAACCAATCCAATCTTGACCATGCTGACTTTCTTCTCGGCCAGTTTCATAGTCTCCATACTTTTCTCGCAAGTCATTACACTCCTTCAGAGCTCTATCTCTGTCCTGCAGTGCAGAGGAAATTTCACGTCGTAAACTTTCCACCTAGAAAATTATAATAAAATAAATAAAATGTAGAAAAGGAGGCAGTTAACAGTTTTTTGGCAGGATATTTTAAGGACTTGAAATTGGGCCTAAATCTCACTGCTAAAAAGGCCCCTAAATATTTCACTGTTCCATAAGCATAGAACAATATAAATCATTTTTCTATTTAGAAAAACAGTGTATGTTATTTTTCTCTATAAATATGAAGTAAATTTACTTTTTCCTCATCACATAACACAACCTATTCTATCTTCTGACAACAGAAAACAATAATTGCCTCATCACACAACATATTCTATCTTCTGACAACAGAAAACAATAATTGCCTCATCACATAACACAACATATTCTATCTTTTGACAACAGAAAACAATAATTGCCTCATCACACAACACAACATATTCTATCTTTTGACAACAGAAAACAATAATTGCCTC